TTTGGCCTTCTTGGACACACTCACATAAGCTCTGATCTAAGTGATCAGCCCAAAACCTCAAATCAAGATCTCAGAAGCTAAGTTTTGATGAGAAAAACAGACAAGCTGTTTAACAGCGGTTTTGCAGCGGTCAGAGCGCCCACAGATCTGAATCCCACGGAGTACAAAAACTGTGCAGAAGGATTAAAGGGAGTATTTTTTGAGGGAGAAAATGCATTGGTTATTTAACTTGCTTAGGTCTGCAGGTGGTCAATTTCAACAAATAGAGCAGATCAAACATCAATTCAATTCAGTTTATTTGTTTAGCGCCAATTTACAACACATGTCATCTCAAGGAACTTAACAGTTCACCAGATCATACAGTCAAATTAATTAAAAGTTTTCTATCTAAGGAAAACCAGTTGATTGAATCAACTCATTGACTCGAAGGCAATAGCATGCTTGTAGCGACAGTGGAGAGGAAAACTCCCTTTTAACAGGAAGAAACCTCCAGCAGAACCAGGCTCAGTGTGAGCGGCCATCTGCCGAGACTGACTGGGGTTCAAGGAGACAGAAGCAGAGATACAAAAGGCAACTATAAAAGGCGGCCCCGTCCAGGAAACACACAGCCAGGCAGATGAGCTCTGAGCCAGCTCCCATGTCAGAGGATGAATAGAGCACATCCAGCCAGTCACAGTCAGAGAAACAAGAACACACTGAAAAACAGGCTGATCTCCAATATCTAGAAACAAGGTGTTGATGGCAGCAGCACAACTGATATTTCTCTCCAGGATGGTGTCACAGCCAAACAGGAACAGACGACACAAAGCTACTATGAGAAAAAGCAGAGAGAGCATAATATTAAAGATTGAATGAAGAGAAACTGCAGAGTTGGAGAATAGAGATAGAATGAAGCAGAATGATAAAAAAGGGTCCCTATGTCCTTCAGAAGTAAATAGACTATAGAACATCTGGCTGTCGACCTGGTGTGTTTTGCAGGCTGAATGCTCTGTAAGTCTATGTTTCATAACTTATAATTTTCTGCAGGTTTAAGAAAAGGTAAGCACATTATTGGCCTTAACCCTGGGATGAGGGGCAGTGTGGCAAAACCTGTCTTTCCACGGACAATTTTACCCTTGGGGGACGCAGCTGCATATATAATGTCCTGGAGCAATTTATGGGTGCTGAAAAACCTATTTTCCTTTCTCAGGGGCAAGCATTCAGAGAAAAGGTCACTGAAGTTCCTGAGAGAGGCTGTGGACCTGGGCAAGGCCCCGATAGATTTTTCGACCTCCAGAGCATGACACATTGTTTGTTGTTGTTCTACCTGGCATAGCCCAGCCTCCATGGACACCCTCGCTAATGTGTGGCAAAGTGAGCTGCTCTACTTTTATTCTGTTGATTGTACTCACTCTCTGTTGGCATGCTTTATCAACTGTGAGGGTTTTTCTGGTACCAATGGAGTTGGACGGGATGCCATGGTGGCTGACTTTCAGATTTGTAGTCTCAGTTGGACAGGAGGGTTTGGTATCCCTACTCATTTAACTAATGGTCTGGTCTCTCGGCAGAGGCTTGTGACTGTATTGGTACGTTGAGGTTACCAGAATTGACAAATTTTTGATCTAATGTGTTGTGTTAGTTCTATCAGTATGTTTTGGGGCTTTGTAAGATGACCACAATAAATGTTGTTAAAGCCAAAAGAACGACGTTGAGCCTTGATTATCTCGAGAAGAGTAACAATGGGATTTTTTAATGCAGATAACAGTCAAATTTATGCTCATTCTTTCATTCAAATAATTAAGTGTCCTGATGACATAAACGCCTGGATGTCTCTTAACTTTTGAAATGTAATTAAAACACGACTGAAGTGATGGTTTTTGGTAACACCTCTTAAAAAATCTGGGCTTTTTGGCCCAGCATGTAAGACCAATCATCACAAACCTGGTAAAGGTAGATTGATTTTTTTTTTTTTTTATTGAACTTTATTAATCTCACACTGGAGAAATTTACCTCTGCATTTGACTCATCCCCTTGGGGGTCAGTGGGCTGCCATTGTGCGGCACCCAGGGAGCAGTGTGGGGTTAAGGGTCTTGCCCTGGGACCCAGAGTGCAGGCTGTGGGGATCGAAATGAGTACTTGCAACCTTTCTTAGAGCACAAATTAATATCTTAAGTTTGTCAGCCAAATCAGGGCAGTCTAAATAGATTTTTTTATAATTTGAAGCAGCTGACCAAAATAAAGCCAATTCTTTAAAGGCAATAGTGTGAAATGGTAATCCATGCTTTTCGGCTGACCTCTATGTAAGGATAAACATCAGTCAGAAATTGTAATTTAAAGAAACTTACAACATCATCTTAACACTGACAACAGGCTGCTTTCAGTCTTTACTTTCTCAGGGCTTTAATGATTTTACCTGCATGTTTTACATTTTTTCCTGCAAAAATACCGCGGTCATACAGTCCTGCTAGTTTTTTTTTTTTTTTTCCTGAAATAGTGTGGCCCCTGTTTAATTCTACTGCAAAGTATATTTTATTGTTGTTTTGTTTTGTTTTTATTTTTTAACTTCATCTATTTCCATTAATCTTATTTGTTAATGAATAACAAACATCTTACATTTTTTATTGAACCTCTAGTTTTCCCAATTCTTCGACATTTCAAAACATGAAAAGTAACTGAATAGTAACTTTGGCTAGTAATAAGTGGCTTTCAGTGAGCAGTAACTGCCCTACTAAATCATTTTGGTTTTTTTGGAGTAGTAACTACTAACTACAGTATTACTTGTTGCGTTTTTTTAAGTTAAAGTTTCCAACACTGCTATTTATGCACATAGCACTGAGTGGTGCTACTTTATAGACCTCTGCAGAGTGCATTGAGATATAATATATAATAATATTTTACTTTCACTAAGAGTTATCAAGGAATTTATGGAACCATAGTTAGAGAGTAACTTCCATTATTACAGGGTCAGTCTCCCTTATAGTCACTGAATGACACCTATGGGTTGTAGTAAATAAAGCCTCCACTAGGCGAAAAAAAGTCCCAATCTGAGATCTGTGACCTTTATACTATTGAAAATGTCTTGAGACTTTTTTTCATAAATAAAAGCCTAGAACCATGTAGCTCTGTTTTTTGACAATAATTATAAAGATCAAATAAAAAAGCCTAAAATGTCCCCTTATTTCTTTTTTTGTTTCCTTTTTACTTTATAACAATTTAATTTAAACAACACCCTATTGAGCAACTTTTATATTTTTTAACTTCACTTTCCTTTTCTGTAAAATATATTCCAACCCATAAGCTGATTGATATTAGTTTCTGATGACGTTTGTAAATAAATTAAACCAAAGCTCTTGAGCTTCAAGCTAAACTTAAAGCTTGCATATCAAAGTAGTGGCATTTCTTTAAGAAAAGCAATCCAGTGAATCCATGAGAGACTAATTCAATTAATAATGCACATGAAAAGAAAGGAAGCTGTTTATACCATGTATTTTTAGTGAATTACACAACTAGGGATATTGTCTTTTAAGAGTGACACACCCAGCCTGCCCATATTTAATGTTAATTTTTGTATAAAGATGTCATCCTATTGTAAAAACTCTGAACTCAATAAAATTAAATATTAAAGCAGCATTTTTATTACTCTTTTTGCATATAAACATAGTCAGAATTGTTGTTGTATTTTAGGGAAAGTTACTGGGGGCAACAGTAAGGCCACATGGTACAGACTTTCTGCCTAAAACATCAGTTACACTCCGAGTTACACACACACACACACACATATATATATATATATATATATATATATATATATATATGTGTGTGTGTGTGTGTGTGTGTGTGTGTAATTTTTTTATGTGTTTTACTGACATATGTTCAAGAAGATAAACACAACAAAGCTTTATACACTATTTGGGCATTCCTATAATAAATAAAAAAAATCAAGATTTCTTTCCCTCTCTTAGTAAAACCCCCTTGGTTTATTTTACGCTTCATATTTGTATTAAAACGAAGTTAATCAATTCACACATCCCATAATGTCACAGGGATCTTCCCTGCCACTGGTAGCAAGCTTAGCCTCTCCTCCTATTTAAAGGTGCCGCTCAGCTTTTCTACCCTGACTATTTTTAATCTGCTTGACCAGCTGTTGCTATATGGGCAAAATGCTTTCTACATGGTCAGCATCCAACAATGTTTTTTTTTTATTATTCTTCAGACTCTAAAGGGTGTGCAGGATGCACCCCGTCTTTTGCTCAAAGACTGCTGGAGATACTGTAGGCACCAGCCTCACTCTAATGACTGAAGTTTTTATTCTGTCTCCCTGCTTTTCTGTTATCAAGTTAATCAACTCCACCTGTGCATCTGCTTGCAGGAGTTGCAATCATCTCATTTCATGCACCTGTTAAGGTGTTTTTAAATGCAGCTCTTTGGCATTGAGACTCTGCAAGTTTTTTGAAAGCCCTTGGTGAGTCTATCGTTCCTCCAGTCTGCCTCCCTGATCACAACTTTTGACTATTCTGTGAAGTTGTACCCATCCTCAAATCTCCAGTGTCACTTTCATTATCGAAGAATTCATTCAGAATCCAAATCATTCCCCAGATTCAGAAGGGGTTAGTGTGTTCAGTCTGTCCTGATGCCCTACAATGCTTAACTGCGACTAACCTGATAACTCTACCCATATTAGTTCCTACGCCGGACTGGAGTTGTTGTTTTTTTTTTCAAAAAAAAGCTTATTTAACCAATGTACATTACAACAGGCGGCTACGCTCTACCTCTTATATATTCGGCTAGCTAATCTGAATCGTTCTATTCCATTTCGATACATAAATGTAAGTATTTATAGCCAAAGACAAGTCAGAGTGATTTAGACAGAGACATCATCAGATCTGAATAACTTTTTACATCGTTACCATTCATTGTACAGTTTATTTTAAATACGATTTTCTTTTTTTAAAACACCTCAAACACAAATTAAAATTACATTTAATTGCAGGATATTTTAAGACAGAAGAAAAAATCCGTATTAATGAATACATTTTCTATATGGGAGGTGTCCAACCCTAGTCCTCAAGATCTACTCTCCTGCAGGTTTTCTTTTTAATTTTATATGCTGTAAGATAGCTTAATAAAATTAATTGCTTGTAAGCAGGCCTCTGCTGAGCTTGATGACATGTTGAAGTTGGAATTCACACATTTGAATCAGCTGTGTTAAAATTAGAAGCATCTTAATCTTCTGGACAGTAAATTTTGAGGACCGGGGTTGGAAACCCCTGGCCTACATGTTTGATGGGAGGCAATTTAAGAATACAGTTTGTTTAAAAAATATATTACAGACACAAAAAAAAGCACCTGACAGACGGCAACATATCACTCCAACCTTTTATTTACAAGATAAAGGCTGCTTTTATCACACTGGTTTGTAGCATAATGAAACTGAGCCTAGAAGACGCTTCATCTCAGTGTGCAGAAGTATGAGTCCTTTCAGTTTGATGCCAGTGTGTCTCTCTGTGATAAATGGCATCCGTTTGGGAAAGCTGTGCTGTGCCATCCCTCCTTAGTCCACCTGTTTCTAAAAGAATGATTCTCAATTACCAGTTAACAGTACATTTGAATATTAAAAGCTACTTAGAACAAAGTAGTGAGGAGGGTTGATAAAGACGGAGGTGTGTGGCCTGGTGAGAAGTCTGCAGATGTCTGTCGGCAGGCAGCGGCACGCCTCCATGCCTGTCCATCGTTGACACTTAGCTCGGGTCTACAGACTTGGGTTGCCCCCGCTCTTCCCAGCTAATCCCACTTTATCCAAGAGAGACGGGCTGTCAGATCTGGGAAAGGAGCCATGGGGGCACAAAGGGACAAAAGAAGGGCAAAGGCATGAGTTTTAATACATTTTAATGACTGTTTCACAAGTCTTCAGTCTGGGCTTTTGGAAAAGAGGTGCACTTACACATGAAAGCCTCCACTGAGAGCTTTTAGAGTCTATTGCCAAAGAATTAGTTAATTAAGACAAAGAGGCAAGTAAAAATACAAAAAAAAAAACTAAGCCTCATTTAAGGCCAAATGTCTCTGGGAACCACACCGGCGGATAAAGGTCTAAATAGAAAACACAGTAAGCTTCTCAAGGTTGAATTTGCCTCATCGGGTTGAACATCCTATTTTCAAACCCTCTTTTTTCACATTTTGTAGTTATAGACTCCAAAATGGATAAAATATTTTTTTTTTCTTTCAATGCAACTTCACTGCCTCATAATTCGTATTTAGGTGTACAAGGCAACATTTCTCACTGCCACTCCAGTACAGATCTAGGCCAGAATTAGTAAGAATAATTTTTTTTGGAGTGTACATTAGTTATCACAGTGTTTGCTATGTAATTTATTGGCGCAAATATGACAGCAATAATGACCTAATGTCTTTTAGGGCAGTCACATTTACATTTTCAAAGTTCAACAGGATTTGAATATGAGCTGAGCCATGCACAAATATTCACAGACTGCCTTTAAAGGTACTTCCTTTGTACTTTACCTATTGGTTTTGGGTATTGTCATCTCTGCTAGAGCATTCTGGACCAGGTTTTCTAGAAGAATTTCTCTACATATCAATCTAAACCTAAACCCCTAAACCTCTCTGTGACTTAACACCAAGTTCCTGCCAGACAAAAATCCTCAGAGCATGATGCTAACACCATCATCCTAAACAGTAGGGAACTTGTTAAGTAAAAGCTAAGCAGTCGCTGGTTCCCTTCAGACATGAAGTTTGAAGTTGTTCATCTCTGGGCAGAAAGTTCAGGTTTCCAAAGTCTGATAATTAGGATGTACGGTATCTCATTTCTCTACAAGGGACACTGAAACTCTGCCTAAGTGAATACTTCCAAATTCCCTATTGAATAGGAATTTATTTAAGACAATTTTTGACAAACAACAATAAACAATGATAAATAATCAACCAAATACACACAAAAGAGGCTATGTAACGTCAACCAAACCAAACACCAATTTCCAAACTAACTAAATTGATCTGAACATGAATAGAAACAAAGCCCTCCACCAAATAACCCTGTCGGTATATACAGCCAGAGAAATGGCATTGATTTATGTAAATTGTCTGAAAAGGGGTATGAAGAAGTAAAACTTATTTTTCATACCCCATTCTTGTTCTTAGTAACAAAGACCAGAGTCTTTGGTGCTGCATTTGCATCCTCCAGATACAGTATGTGCTTTGACACAATCTGGTGTTAGAGGCTTACAGACAATTCCTTTGACTTTCCTTTTTTATACAGTGTCAACTTAGGCCTTTTAGACTAATGTGTTTCTTTCCAAATCATGTCCAAGCACCTGATTTTAGCCTAAGTGGATTCAAATCAAGTTGTAAAACGTGTAAAAGTAGGAGCTGTGGAAAACCATTGGAACTGTATTCCATTTTGATGGTCAATGCAAAGGCTGTGAATACTTATACATGGGAGTATATTTGTATAAGAATAAAATATCTTACATATTGAATATTGTGGATGAAATTTTAAGAAAAGTGAATCTATTTTGGTAAATGGTGGTTAGATAAAAAAAAAAAAACTGGAAGTAAAGTGCTGTGAAAAGTTTTGGGGTGATCTGATTTATTTATTTACATTTTTGCTGGTAAATGAAATCCTTAGCTGCTTTTCTTGATGAAAGGTTAATGCTGTACCCACATCAAATTAAAATCCACTTGATTAAATTGGATGGAGAGGTTCTTAATGGGAAGAATAAACATCATAATAGCTATTGTATAATTCTTCAACTTGGTGTTGCCAAACGGTGTTTGTATTCAAAACTTTTGTTCAAAGCCTTGAATAAATGTCCATAATGAGTTCTTGATTTAAAGCATGTGTTTTATTTTTCTTCAAAACCTTTCTAAACCTCAATTATGTGAGTGAGACAAGAAAATAAAAATGTATGATAAATGTAATAAATTAAGAGTTTACTTAAGTTGGTTGCATTTAGATTGAACTTATTCTCAAATAAAATGTGTTTATCAGTTTTAGATTATTTTCAACAAAGTCCTTTTGATTACATTTTTCATTTCAAGCATTAGTTTCTGAAAGCTAAGTAATCAGCCATTTAAATGGGCTCACCACTCGTGTTCCAGATTGCGTTGCTTTGATTCTTACAGCCGTTCTTCATACATTCATCAACATAGGATTTAGGGTCGGAGCCCGACAGGAGTATCTCCCTCAGCAAAGCAATGTAGGCTATGGCCAGCCTCAGAGTGTCTATCTTAGACAGACGCTTCTCATAGGGAAATGTCGGAACATGGCAGCGGAGCTCTTCAAAGGCAGAGTTGATGCTCAGCATCCTCTTCCTCTCTCTGATGTTGGCGGCATGTCGCTGCACCTTGTACGGCTGGTGGAGAACCAGCCTCCTTGTCCTGCGCTTAGCTGCTTCCAGAGATTCATCTGCAGGACATCCTTCAATCTCAGCACAGGCATCGAGTCCTGGTGACTGAACGTCCAAGTCGGTGAAGGTCAGCTGAGCGTCTGAGAGCACAGACTGACAGCCGAAAGTAGACCATGGTGAGAGCTGACTGCTTGCTGCCTGGCAGTCCATCAAAAAGGAATCCAGGTGGGTCTGAAAATGAAAATTTTGGTCCATCTGTCCCCAAAATGCAAACTCATTTGGGCAATCTTGATCAAAGTCCAAAGGTAGTCCAACATCCTCCATGTTTTATTCTTTGTTCTTTAACACGACCTGGTTACGTGAACAGCTAAAGAGCAAAGATACAACAGGAAGCTTGAGATCTACCTGAGTAAAGGTCTGCTGTGTGTCAGCCTCATGGGAACATCTCGGTTAAATAGTGCCGCAGTGTTTCTCTATGGGTCGCTGTGCCCATATTCTAAAGCCTGAAAGGGAGCTCTTAAGGACTCCTCACCCTTCTTTGATTGCCCATCGCTCCAACAACAAAAAAACAAAGATAGACATATCTGAATGACTACAAGCTCTAAAAAAAACGTCTAATTATAAACTTCCTCTCAAGTACTCATTCTAATACTGCCACAAAAACATTTAGGATTTCTAGCAGTGAAGGTGTTGAGTGTTGAGGTGCAGCGGGCCATGCTCATCCAGTGGCTCCTGAATGGGATTGTCTAATCTTTTGATGCTGACAACAAACACTGACAGAAACACATGGAAAGGCTTTCTTAGTTTTAACAGACAGCAGATTTCAAAGTGAAAGTAGGATACTTGTTTTTTTTTCTGTTTTCTTTCAATATATTTTACACTCTAAGATTATAGCCCTCAGAAAGTCCCATAAAAGCAGAATATCCTGGTAAAATTAACTAAACCAATGTAATTTGAGTAGGAGGCCACATTAGTACATCCCTAATTTGCAAAGGACACGATTGGCAAACGACAGTTGAGATGTACGTTGTAATTATGCTGCAGTGTCATCAAACAAACCAGTTCTTTTTTATGGGCTGGATGGAGGAAAGCACAGGGATCTAATTCAGAAAAGATAAATGTTTGCAAACACATGGGTTTGATTTCACAAAGTCCTTTGGGGTGCTAATTTGAAGGGATTTGTGTGCTGGCTGTAGTAAACATTCACAGTATGAGGAACTTTGATACAGAGAGCTCATAGGATCTTATCAAAATGATGTACATGAAAACAAAATCAATTTAGATCTATCAAAAAATATTAGAATGAACCATTATTTAATCCATTACACTACAAAAAGATGTTGCCTCATTTATAAGTAGGCAAACATTATTTTTATATGTTTATGGTGATACAGAGACATGCATAAAACATAAGACTGTTTTATTATTATTCCAATTTTTGTAAGGACCTACAATAAATGAGCAGCTTCAAAATACATCTTTACATATGCTGCCACCATCAGACCTAATACACCTAATCATGTGCCTAATCACAATACATTTATAAGGGCATGATCATATAGATTTAAATAGCTGGACCTAATCAGATGGCTTTAGTGGTTTGGCTTTGTAATTGGAAAGAATTGTCTCCTAGAGAGGCCTGTGTTAGGACCCAATGCCGGCTGCCAGCAGCAGATCTCCCCCAGCTGACGGTCACAGTTCGGTTTACTGCCTGCTCAAAAGATGTGCCTGTCAGTTCCAGATTCTACTTATTGTGTATGCAGGCACTCAAGTGGTCTGAACAGTTTGAAAAGAGTGAAGGGAGTCTTGAAGATTATAATAAAAATGGAGTGAATAAGCGTCCTTAAAACCATCAACATGTTCACATCAGTAAAGAACCTTCTTCAGTCCTTTTTGTATTTAAAATATTCAACATTGATTTATTGAAACTCATCCTACACTTGATGTGCAGTGAGATCCTTTCCAGGAGTTAAATCCAACCTGGAAAAGTCCAACATGCCTTAGTGTCTTTAAAAACACATGTTTCCAATTAGGCTTGTGGTTTAAAGCTGTTTCCCACCTGGGAATTACAGTGTGTAAAACAAGAAGGTTAACGAAACTACCAATCAAACAGACATTGTCGAAATTGATCCACACACCTGTTCTTTTATATCCTTTGTGATATGATTTTTGTTTATCAGTGACAGGTTGGAGAGAGGCTTTGTTACTTACTTAAGATGGTTTGTGCCTCTAAACATTGACCAGGATTGTAGAATCAGAGCCAAAATGTTCGACAGCACCAGCCTCTGCATATTTCATGTCACTCTACTCTTATTCTTCTTTTGTCTGTCTTTTCTTCTTATCGTTTCTGCCTTCATACTGACTTAAACTGTTTTTGAAACCTTTTAGAGCTAAATAAGTATAACAAATCATTCAAAAAAGACATGCTGGAAGAGGGGCATATGTTTCTGGATTCAAATGTAATTTTAAATCTTTATTTTGTTTTCTTATCATCTAGATTTCTAATCGGATTATGTGATTATAATCTCAGCTTATATTAGGCCTACTAAATGTGTCAAAAAGACATTTAAATGTTCACTTCTTTTCTACATGGTAAAGGGTTGTTCAATTTTGAGTGTAACTTTGCAAAAAGTTGTCCAAACCTAAAGCTCTAGTACATTCATAAATAATTGTATAAGTTTAACATCCAACCCTTGTCTCCTTCTTAGTGGCTGCCAGGCCGGGCCTGGGCCTTCTGGCCCTGTAGGGTTGGGGGTTGGTGCGTCCCCTGGCCTCAGACCCATGGACTCTCACTGGGTTTATTTTGAGTGTGACCAGCTGCCAGCTGGTGGGTTTGCTACTGGGTTCATATGGGGCCTCAGTACTATGGCCTCTGGGGTTTGGCCCCTCAGGGACTGGGCCCCTTTGGCTTTTGGCCCCAAAGGGGGTACTCTAGTGGATGCAGCCGTCTCTAGGTCTGCCCTCCCTTTGTCACTTTGGTCTGGGGTGCATTTGGATATCTGGGGCTCTGGTCGCCTCTATATCATTCCTGGGCCCTACAGTGTGAGTTTGGGGCTACTCACACCTGCTATTGAGCATATTTCCTTCTAAAGAAGCTTTCTAAACCCTCTTATACAGAACACGGGCATGCTTATGCATACATATCACAGGAGTTGGGTTCTAGGTGTTCATGGATACACACCAATACTAAATACTAAGTCTCAGCTACAGCTACATACAACACTCGATAAAATTGTGTGATCACCATAGGTTATGCTTTCAACAAAAATGTACTGAATGGGTGTCTGAGGGCATTTACTTTGGTTATCTTTGTTTATTTTTGCTTTTTTTAGTCTTTGTTTGCTTTCCCTCTTATCTCATGCCAACACAGAGGCAGTCTTCTAGGAGCTACAAGTTGTATAGGTTCAGCAATGTTTATTTTGCTGTTTTGATTTGTTGGTTAGATTTTGTTTCATTTCTCTCTCATCCCCCTTGTTCTATCTCTACCTCTTTTACTTTCCTCTTGATTATTACCCCCTCTCCCTTTCTGTCTCTATGTCTGTTGCATACATTTTCCTTACCTACATCATATTTTAAAAGGTTTCATATATAATTACCAAGGGGAACCTTATGGCAACAACCATAAAGGTCTGCTAGTGAAATCTGTTGGGCTATTATCAAGCTTTGGGACATTGATTGTCAGAGCTAAAGTCGTAAAACAGGACACAAGAAAAAAAAAAAAACATACATTGTTTTTTAGCTTTGCAGACAACCCACAGCTTTATATCACAATGTCACCAGGTGATTATGAAATCATCAGAGAGTTGGCTAGATGCTTAGAACAGATCAATACGTGGATGCACCGTAATTTTTTTCCAACTAAATAACAGCAAATCTGAGCTAAAAATTTTAGCTCACAGCTTCAGCTACTACAGCTAGAAACCACTGATTATGGTCATTTTGGTGGACTCAGACCTGAACCTTCAGAGGCACATAAAAGCAACTACCAGGTCAGCCTTTATCACCTGAAGAACATTTGTAGTAGAATTGATTACTGCAACAGAGTCTTCATGAATTTGCCTAAAAAGTATTTTAGACAACATCTTATCTAAAACACACCATGTTCTCACCAGAACTAAGAAAGTAGAGCATATCAGCCTGTCTCTGAAGCCTTTACACTGACTCCCTGTAGCTCAAAGAAAAGTCCTTCTGTTAGGATTGTAAAGTCCAATAGAGTAGGTTAGCACTATTTTGATTTCAGTATTGAGCTTTACTTTGGTAATCATAGAAACCGGAAGCATGGTAACGGATATTGGCATGAACAGAAAAAAAGAGAGTAAAAGTCTGAAAAGATTCAAGGTTCAAAAAGTAAAAAGCCACTTACAAAAACGTTTAACTACAAGGTTTAGCTTCGGGCAATTGGGGATCAAGGTTTGTAAATTTAATGTGAACAATTTTTTTATTATTTAAATGTTTGTAATCTTGGAACACTAACTCTAACTAACAAAAGAAATTTATGTAATGAGCTGTGTAATGGTTTAAATGAAATAGAAACACGGTTTATTTGTTTCTACCTAGCTCTTACGTTGGGTAATGACATGTGCGGCACATTAAATCATTTAACCAACAGTTCTGGCCTTCTCAATATTGACTGGATGCTACAAGTATATAAATCACTGAATAGATCGGCACCTCAATACATAACAGATTTGTTGTCATTTTATCAACATCCCAGACCACAGGACTTCTAGTGCAAGCCTACTTCATACACCCAGAACTAGAACCAAACATTGAGAAGCAGCATTTAGTCCCTATGCTCCTCTTATCTGGAACAAACTTCCAGAAGACTGTAAAAGTGCTGAAAGTCTGAGTTCTTTAAATCAAAATTGAAAACCTATTTGTTTAGAGATGCATTTGGCTGTTGAAGTTAAACTCTTAACTGATGTTTTATTAATTTAAGGTTGTGGTCCAATTTGTTAATGACGCTTTTTTGATCATTCACAACTGTGGTATATACTGGGATCTTGAAACATTAATCATTACAACTATTTACTGAATTAGATCTGTACAAAGCAATTAAAAAATGCTCTAACTTCTAATCCTTGTTGGTATTAGAGTGCACTCTATACTATAACTAATCAGCTCCATATTTACATTTTGAGTAAACGACGCTAAGTTTTCCACCATGGTAGAAATTTCGAGAAGTACCAGTCATAGTTGTACCGCATTGTGAGGATACTGGTTGTAACCTAAATCTTCTTCCCCTGTCAAATTTCTAGACAAACAGATTTAGGTCTAGGTGCACAAATGCTCACACGCTGAGCACAGTAACAGACAAAATCTGAACCATGCAAACAGATTATGTTTGCACCGCTGTATTCAGTGACGCACAGCTTGTTTGTTTGGATACAAGGCCGATAAACAT